CCGAGGACCCAGCCTGCTCCCCCTCCCCCTCCCCACCAGTCTCTCTCTCTCTCTCCCTCTCCCTCCCTCTTACTGCCTTCCACGCACTCTCGTTGATCTGCTCCCTGGCGCCCCGGAGCTCTCCTCGATCCGCCTCCTTCTCTCAGATCTGCTGCGGCGATAAACAGCAGGTGCGGCCGAATGTCCTGTGCTGTTAGCCAGCTGCTAGGGCCTGCACCGACGGAACCCAATGTGTCGTGCTAAATTGATCTTCTCAGTTCCAGCAGCTGGGAAATGCTCAGCGTCTTCGCGCTTTGGTCATTCATCTGCACTTTGTATATCTTTGGATAAGTGTAAATTATAGAGAGTAAAAGAGTACTGCTTTTTGTCTTGTGTAAGATTAGAGAATAAGAGAACCACCTCCAGTTATATCCTACGGTCAAAGTTGTACCAACAGAGTTTATGTAAAACAAGGAAAATATACCTACAAAATGATGCCTGATTAAGCACTGACCAGTGACCAGTATGCATGATTAACCATGTTTAACCATCTGTTTAAAATGTGAGATATAACCAATATCAGGATTATACATATGGCAGGTAGATTAATCATAAGCACACATGTTGAATAATTTCTCTTAGCAAACTAATCACTAGTACAGATTGAATAATGTCAATCGCAAGTCGAATAAAAAAATGGCTTGAACATATGATTATTATTATGATACCAAAATGAGGTTATGAATTATCATAACTTCAGGCTTAAGGTAACATATAATTTTCAGGAGTAGATGATGCCTAATATAAGAAATGAAAACATATAACAGAAAATTATCAGTAGTCTCACCACCTCATGGCAAAGAGGTCATCATAACAAAACAACCTATTCACCTCTCATCCTTCCAAGCAAACAAAAATCCGGGTCATCCTAACCACCTCTCATCCCTCCAACCACTCAGCCAATAAAGAAGGATATCCCCAACCCTTCCCTCCTTGCCCTCGAACCAAATGCACCCTTAGTACCGGACATCCGGACACGAGGATGTGCCATCAACCACCTCTTCTGTGCTATAAATATTAATCTGGGGCGGAGAGTTGATTTTGGGAGACTGTTTCTGTGTCTTGACAGTCATATCCAGCCCCTCTGCGCCTTGTAAAAATGGTACAAATATGTTGCCTTTTGATTGGATTTATGATGTCTATGCCTACTTCATTATAAGTTTTGCTGATACATGGAAAATAATCATAATATCTATTTATTTGTCATTCTTGGACTGTAGGCTGAAGGAGTGAAAGGTAGGGTGGGCAAGGCAGAGTGAGGGATGCAGAGTTAAGAGTATTTGGATGCTGCAATGGCACAGGCTGCTATTGAATCTGCTGTGAGTGGTGGCGCGTTGATTGGGAGACCGGCAGGGGTCCCGAGGATGAAGAGGAAGACTCCCTCGGAGCTGCGGGTAATGCTTTTGTTCCCCTGATTTATATCCTCAATCCATGATTATTCTGTTGTCATTGCAAATGCTAATTGGACTAAACACTGTGAAATGTGTGCCACCATGCATTGTGACCTGTGAAGCTGTACTAAACTACTAATCACGTGAATCAAGTATTAGCTCTAAATAAGCCCCAAACAAGCTCTTAATGCTGGGCCACATTGTAATCTAATAAGCGATATGTTGTTGCTTGATTGTATAGAGCCAAATGTGCAGCAAATCAACCACATTTTCAGTTTGTCACTTAAATGTGTTCTGGAGAAGTAGAGAACCATAGGCATGTCCTGTTGTAGCATGTTTCTCTTCCGTGTTATGTCTCCACATTATACATGAATGTCGCAAATATTGCTCTACTTTAGCCCCTGTTCTAAGCATTGAAATTTATTCCAATGATTAATTTCTGCAGGGAGAACAATATAAGAGACGCATGTCTGAAAAGATTGCTGATGACCAGCTATTTGCTTCTGCACCATTTGATAGGTAAATCTGCTGTATTTATATATTGATGTTCTTATTGTGCTTGATCAAAAGTTTGACACCTATCTTGTGGGTTTAGGCCAAGCAACGGGCTTCGGAATATGGAACAACAAAAAATACCCAAATATATCAACACCCGTGTTACAGAGGTGTTCCCAGTTAAAAAATCCAGAAACGTTGGAAAGGAAAACTGTAAGGTTAGACATCTGAGACATTATTGATTTTGATGGGCTTAATGATGCTCATTGCTCTGCAATTCTTTACAGTATCATAGTTTCGATATAAATCTTATATATTGAAATTGTAAACAGGATGCTTTACTCAATAATGAGAAGGTTCCCAAATTTGCTGATACTGTAACTACTTCACATTCCGTGTCATCTTCATTCCTGCGGTAATTATTTGACTAAAGTTGCTGCATCTTGTATTATACCATGTTTATTCTCTTATGTGCATTGTTGTATCACAATTCAGCGGTGACTCTGTTAAGTTGGACTCTTCTGTTCCATCACTTGTGGAGGCAGCGAAACCAAGTTTCAGGAAAGCTGAGAAATACAGTGAAAATGCTCTACGGAGTGTATCTGAGCTACACATCGGTGATGACAAGCAACCTGCCTCGAACAAATTTGATATGGTAAAGAGTATCTATCTAGTGCACTGCAGTATTTTATATATATATTATTGCATGCGCTAATCTTTCTTGTGCCTTGTGATAGGAAAAAGTGATGAAAGGGTTTGGAGCTCGTGATGCTTCTGGAACTTCCAATGCCCCTGACGTACAAGTTGGTGATCTTCCTTTGAAGTCTTCAGAACTGTGCCCTTCTAAGATAAAAATTCCAGGAAAAAGAGCTCCTTTGGATCTCACTTTAAAGACTAGTCTGCAGTTCGTTTCATCATCTTCTGTGAAGTGGTGGGTGTGCATTTGCTTCTCTCTTTCTTGTCTTCCAAACAGTTTTCAGGTAGAAAGTGCATTCTTCCCAAAGACACCTCATCTGTCTCTTGGTTGAACCATTGACATATCCTAAATTGGCACTCGGAAAATTATATATGAAAATGGCTATGTGCCCACCTCAAAAGATGCTGTGCAGAACCTGCAAAATTTGCACACAATTCAATTTCCTGTGCTCCTAGTGGAAATATGTCTAGTAGAACACTAGGAAAGAGAATTCAAAATTACTTAAAAATGAAATTATATTGTCATTCTTATGTTTAGATCATCTGCCTCAAAGACCCAAGTGTCAAATACTCCTGCTAAGAACTCTTCTGTTTAACAGGTGTCACAATTTGAGTATTGCTGGGCCCATCACTCAGAGTTATCGTGGTGGCTCTCAAAATTCACGATGTGCAAGGCCTGGGAAGGAATTCTTGTTCTCAAGGGCACTGCAATCATGGGTATATCCACAGTCCCTGTTACCTGCTTCCATCATATCTGCTATGCTCTCATCAAATGCACGAGGAGGTAATCACTGGACTTGAATTATTCCTGCATTTAAAGAACAAACATCCCTGTAATTCCCGTGGATGTAAATCCTTACATTTCCCCCCTTCTGGCATGTAGAAAATGAGTTCCTTCTCAAGAGGTATCAGGACTGGGAAGACTCATTTCAGAATCTTTACTACATGCTCCGCAAGAATCAATTGAACATCTTTTATGGTATCTTACTCACCTCAAACCTCAACGATTCATTCAATATCTCGATAGGTCACTTATATGAAAAATCTAACTATTTTATTGTCCATGATGTCCTCATTGTACCTGCACAAAAGATGGTATATCTTTGCTAAGAAATGCATTAGCTCATGACAGCTGATGCAAAATATGATTTATCTATGTTAAACAGTGAACATTTCTATCTAGTGGAAGATGCATTGCCCAGTATTACAATATGAATTTGTTCCTGCCTTACACTTTGTTATTAAAATATGAATGAGAACTTTGAGCACGTAATGCCACATTTTGCTCAAGGCCGCCTTCATTTGCCGTTCGATTTCATTTCCCTGGAATATTTATTTAGGTTCTAGACTATTACTTTCTGTTTTTTTAGGAACTTATTACTTTATCTATGGTTAGTCTCCATCACTGTACTGAACACTGGTTTTGTTATCTAGTTTATACAGCACAATTTGTTGCTCTATTCATCCGTGGAAATTGTTTGGAGAAGCAGTCCTGTAATGCCTACTTGTCACAATCTACACGTGGCATACGGTCACTACTGCGAAAACATGTAAGCTCTCCATTCTGTTTCTTTCTCTACTTTGGTTTAATTTCCACATTAAAATAAATCCATATATGCCTGCAAGTTACTATGGCATATTTCCGTCATTGAGCAATCATTATTTTCAGTATGAACTTGCTTGCAATTTGTGTGACACTTTAATCAAGTAGATAAGCTTGTTGGTTACCAAGACTACTCCTTGTGTTTCTTTTTAACTTTTGAGAATGTATGGTGTTGTAGTGGTTCTACATTGATATAAAACATTGTATTTTGTGATGTACTCCCTATGTTCCACAATGTAGCGCATATAGATTTTCCCAAAAGTCAAGCTTTGCAAACTTTGACCAACTTTGTAGGGAAAAAATATAAACATTTAGAATACAAATACATATCATTAGATACATCATGAGGCATATTTTATTATTGTATATGTTTGGTATTATAGATATTGATAATTTATAGGCACTACATTGTGGAATGGAGGGCGTAATAATTGTTTGTTCTGATTGGCCATTTTGCTGGAAGTAACATTGCTTTGGTAGTTTATGTCAATCATATACCCTTATGTGGTACCCTTATAGGACTATAGGAGTGAGATATAATATTGGTATGTTGGTCTCTAAGTCATCCAATTGCTTAAGACAATTCAAGCTTAGTTTCTTTTGAGCTCCGTACTGGTTCAAAATATTTTTTTCTATTAGGATTATGATTGTAGGACTTTGTGAATGCATTGTCACAGGGTGTTTGCTTTTCTATGCCTCTTTGCAATGCTGAAGTGGAGCAGGTTACTGATGATGACCTGATGGAATTTTCAAAAATCCAAACACTCAATCTGGGCCAGGTACCGTTTGCTTCTTCAACCTTTCCCTTGTTTGCTAGCCAGGCTGCAGTTACTGACAGTTTGAGGCTTAATTTTTCTTGAACTTGCAGACACTTCATATAGATGCTTTATCTGAGGTGGACAACACTACAGAGTCACTCCTTTCATTTACTGGCAATAAGAGCGTTCATGGCTTATATGATGTCTTGTTGAACTACAAGTAGGGTGCTTAGTCTCTAGTAATTATTCTGTTTCTTTTGACCTGCCAGAATTTAATATTGTATAATCTAATTTTGTCATTTTTCAGGTCCTTTCTGAATTCATTATCTGCCACAGATGTCCCAGTGTTATATTCACCGGTGCCATTTCAAAATGGCTGCCTCCATATTCCAGAGGTGATTTCATTTCTGTACTCTATTTTGTTTCCGCGACAGGATTTTTTATGGCCTATTTCTATGCGTAATTGCCTGACTTGAAAATCTGATACCCTGAGTACATGCTTTTGCAGGTCATATGCAGGGAGATGAGGAAAGCTGATACTGGCCTGTCCTCCTCTACCGGTTTAGATGAAGAACCTGGATCAGTGTTTGCTCCTCCACCAGGCAACATGTGTTACAGCATGGAAATAAAGGATGTGGTTATCCCACCGTGGGTTGCCTCCGGCATTTGTGCCGCGATGAGCTCAGACACGGATCGCTTTGATTTAACGTAAGTATGATCTTCCCTTGCACCGCCTGTTCAAGTCTTTCCACGTGCTAAAATGGGATCTCTTTTGTTCTTCCAGAATGGGGACGGAACCCTCCTCCATGGGCTTAAACGCTGCTTTCACCTCCATAGGCGTGAGCGGCCAGTCAAAGGCTCCTTCAGAGTCCTCTCCTGAAGGCTGCGAGGCCATTGGCATTCCCAGCGCTGTCTTGGTCCGCTCCTTGCACTCCGCCTCGCTCCGGCGCCTCAGTTACAACCACGGCGAATACCTTGCGCACACAACCGTGTGAGTTGCAACGCCTTGGAGCATACCTGCGATGCAAGGCCGGTGCTTCTTTACAGCCACTTTTGTGGTGCTAGGATCCTGTGTATCCTCCATGCCAGGAAGCCCGGCGATACAGAGAGAATCCGGAAGAGCCTTGTATGAGGCGTCAACCAACGCCTCAGCCTCTGCAGAGCACTCTAGGGAGTGCGTGTGTGGAGGGTTGTACCTTTTGAGCCTGTGCTGTGTAGTTCACAGGACATGTACCCTTGACTGGTAACTTTAATGGAGTTTCTGGTTATGTAAAACGAAGGGAGAAAACAACAACAACAAAAGGGACATTTGCTTTCTTATTACTTGGGTTATATTGAATGCTGCGTTTGAACAATTTTGTGTTGGACTGGAGTGGGTGTTACTACTGTGATCCTTACCAGAAGATTGGGTGTCCATTTGAATTGGTAGTGCTTAACCAAGAGGAAGCACAAATACAAATTCTGTTACTCTTTCTCTTGCTTTTGGCGGGAATGTAGCACAACACATGCCAAACAGTGTAGAGTAGAACGTTGATATATGCACATGCATGACTCCATTTGGACACAACACCTACCGGAGATCAAAGTTGTGGAGTTTTAAAATTAACATGAGCAACCAAAAGTTATTTTAAGCCATTGCCCCCTCCCCCTTTTTTCCAATAGTTATTTCTATTGAAGCAATTGTATGATTGTATCTTTATAATCATTATTTGTATCTGTAATCACATCTAAAAGTGAAGAGCTGCTATCATGCTTCATGCTCCGAGTACAAACGTGACGAGGAACATCAAAATGAGGATGCCAGCAAAAGTCGCAGCCTTTATCGTAGTCGGTCCCATTCCTAGAGACTAACCTATGTGAACACGGGACTACTGTTGTGAAAATAATTTGTACGTGACGAACAAGCGTTCTACAACTGTAGGTGGGGATTTGTGAATGTTCTCCCTCACAATGTATCTTTATATAGGGACGGGCTGCTTGAGCATGGGGCTTCACGGCCACTATATGGTACGTTGTGCTCTGCTGTGGCCAATGTAATTGCATTCAACATCAACATGCATGAAAGATAAGCATGCAAAGCTCTTTGAGGTTGTAGCTCAAAGTTATCTCTGGCGAGCTTGCTTGTACAGGACAAAATCACCAATAATCGTGCTAGTTCTCTTTTGGTTTTATGATTAGATTCGATAACCAACATGTATGTATGTTTCGAAAAACATGTAACGTGGATAACCTCGTCTCTTGGTTTGTTTACACAATAGTTCTCTCTCCTACTTTCACGGTGTGGTGTGCGGGCCAATACCATCCTATTAAGGATTTTTTTTCTTTCACATGCCATGGGTGGGGTAAGGTTTTGTGCATTGTATCAACCTCAACGACATGCTTGACCTTTTACACAACCCTTGTTAATTCCTTTGAGTTTTGATTTTGCAGCTATGCTCCCCAGGCGGAGTGTTATACGCGTTAACCAGGGCATTAATCCGCGTAGCCAAGGGTGAGCACTCATCGTATACGACATGACTACCATGGTATATAATCCTCTAATCATGTGTTCCCTCCCCATGCTTTCACACCCCGGCATTGGTAGGGACATAGAGAGTTACTCACTTTTGGCGCCCCCTTCATGAATCTACGCATTTCGGTCCTAACACAGAAATTTTGCCTTTTTCATGTCTTACTCAAGTGAAACGGTTTCAAGAGCATTCCACCACCCACCACTGCCCTTTCTTTAATTGCACCCACAAGGAAGTGAGCACCGACGGTGAGGCACCAACTGGGGGATGGGTATCTCTTGAAGTACTCCAGGACGCGGTTGAGCCATTGACATGTGCGTCCGGGAGCAGATTGGCCCATCTGTCAGTGACCCAACTGCACCTTGCAGTGCATCAGGGGAGATGTTGTTGATGCAACAACTAGCTTGCTGACACTAGCGATCTCACCGACAACTACAAATGGGAAAAGGTCGAGGAAGTGTAGATTTGTAAGCCATATGAGATGTGCGAGTGGTCGGACTCCACACCAACACAATGCACGACACGACATCCATGGACGACGAGGTGCACTATGTAGAGCACAAACAATTTTCTCGTTGTTTTTTTGACAATCAATACCTCGATATATTTATAGTAGCGAATTGTACATGGTAGAGATACATGAGTTGACTACAACGATTACAAAACTAGCAAATCCTCGAGATCTTCAAACTCTTTCTTCTTTCATGACACAATTTTGTACTTTTCTGAAGGCAGACGTAGGAAAATAACAAAGGTATTGTAGAATTGATTGTGTGCATCGATAATTCTCATTGATCATGCACTAGGCACATATATAGGTACAAGGGCTGCGAGATCTCAACCATATCCGCTATACAGGGAAAGGATCGGGAGATATCGCTAAGCTAGGAAGTAAATACAAGAGATCCTAGCCGCCAGATATACATGCAATGACAACCGTGCTCAACCCCCCCCCCCCTGCAGTCGAAGCGTCACCGAGATGCAAAGACTGGACCGAAAACCCTCGAAAGTCGAGGTAGGCAGTCCCTTCGTCATGACATCAGCGAACTGCTAATTAGTGGGTACATGCAAGACTCGAACACGACCAAGTGCAACGTGCTCCCGGACAAAGTGAATGTCAAGCTCAGTATGCTTCGTCCGGCGATGATGAACAGGGTTGTCACAATAGACAATCATGGCCTTGGGAACCTCACATAGCAACTCCTAAAGCAGCTGCCGTAGCCAGGATAACAACATGGAACACACATCACAGGCTTACCATGTTGTATATGAAACTCATTTTGGTAAATCAGTTCAGTAGTAAGGTGGACAGGATAACAACATGGAACACACATATATCTATCTAGTATGTTCACTGTATGGTCTATATCATTCTAGTTTATGTTGCCAAATCAAGATAGAGACAGTTCAAATCATATCTATTTAAGACAAAGCAACATAGACAGAATATAAGTGTGGGAAACTACACAGCAATAACAACACTTGTAATGTGCATGTCATGAGAACATAACTGTTTATTCAATTGAAACTAAAATCAATACAGAGCAAGTTACAACAGCAAACACGTTAAAGAAATGGGTTTAAAACATACCTGTTGCGCCATTAGAGTTTCAATTGCATCCAAATTTGAAATTAGTTGGTATGAGTAAATACAGTGATGCAAGAGCAAAGTAGTATGAACCATAGCTACGGAACCTGACCTGAGAACAATTATTCTTCTACTTTAAGCGTTGACTTGGGGTTCGGAGTGGTGGTCCTCGTGCTTTTGGCACTGCAGTTGCCTTACTAACTGCTCATGTTCGGATGCTCTATGGTGGAGACGGTGTTGTGTCAATTGGAACTGGGTTACTATTTGCTGGGGTTGGGGTTAGAAGGGGTGTGGCTGGTTCTCCGTCTAACTGGGTAGCAATCTGCGTGAGTCTGGGTTTTGTGTGGTGGGGCTGGTTCTTGGCCAAGTACAACCGTGGTTCTATCTGCATCGACAAGTAGCACGATCTTTTCTGAAGACCGTGTTTTTACTCCCACAGATACCCATCACCCCTCCAATTGAAATGACTGATAAATAAGAAAAGTAATTGAATGTACATACATTGTAAGATAGACAGGTGCAATGGATAGTAGGGAAAAAAACAGGGCATGAAATAATTCACATTTATGTTGTCTAACCAAACAAATAGCATGACATAATTTCACATATATGATGGCTAATTAAACAGGATAGCATGACACAATTTCACATGTATGATGACTAACTAAACAAGATAGAATGACATACTTCAAATTATGATGACTATGTAAATAGGATGACATGATATAACTATACGATGTGTCTATTAAAGTGGTTGGCATGCCATAAATCACAAGCATGCCGTTGATGGAAACATGATGGCATGATATAATTTAGGGATAGAATGACATAATTCAAAATATGATGACTATGTAAACAGGATGAGATGATATAACTATATTATATCTTTAGAAAATGGGTTGGCGTGCCATAATTCAGATACATGCTGTCTATGTAAACATCATGGCATGATATAATTCAAATATATGATTTATATACTAAGCAAGTGAGCAGAGGTTAATCGCATATATGATGTGTCAACTAAAGAGATGGCATTCAATATTGTGTATATGATGTAAAAACTAAACATTGCAATACAACATATGCATGATATGAGTAATATAACCCTGCCAAGTTTGAGCATACACCTCAGGGGGATAATAGGACTGGTCATCTGCCTTTGAATCCTCCTCTGAAGAGCTATCTGTAACCAGCAAGATATCTGCTTTTAGCAGGTAGCATTGTCTACTCTGAAGACCTTGTTTTCACTCTAGATTTCTCCATCACCAATTCAAATGGCTGATGCACAGGAAGAGCAGTTGAATATACAAACATTGTTAACAAATGCAATGAGAAATACAAAAAAAGGATGACATGATATAATTCACATATATGACGCTTGGCTAAACAGCATGGCATTGCATAATTCACATATATAATGCCTTGCAACAAGATAGCATTGCCTAATTCACATATATAATGTCTTGAAACACGATGGCATTTCATAGTTCACATATATGGTAATTAGACACTAAACAAGTGACATTCACACAAAGCATGTCTAAACTAAGCAAATGACATAGCAATGCAAGATACCATACACACGATATGAGCAACATAACCCTGCCAAGTTAGAGCATGCACCTCGGGGGGGGGGGGATAGGACTGGTCATCTGTCTCTGAATCCTCATCTGAGGAGCTATTCGTAACCAGCAAGACATGCGCTCCGTCAGATAACATTCTCTGCTCTGAAGACCTTGTTTCCACTCCAGATTTTTCCATGACCGTGCCAAATGGCTGATGCGCAGGAAGAGTAATTCAATGTACTAAAATTGTTGACAAATTTAATATGTAATAAAAAAATGATGGCATGATATAATTCACATATAAGATGACTGGCTAACCAGGGTGGCATTGC